CTAAAAAAAAAATGAATTGGATTATACTGTATTACCGATCTCTGAATAAATTATGAATTTTTTATTCAGTGAAAATAACTTACTTTTTTTAACTATAGTGAACAAATATGTATATTTAAATAAAAATAAAATGTAAAATAAATAAAAATAAAATGTAAAATAAATAAGAATGAAAAGTAAAATAAATAAAATAAAAAGTAAAATAAATAAAAAAGAAGTAAAATAAATATTCATAACTTTTAAACTGTTTTATCCTAAATTCATAGAATATTGAAATATTTTTACATATCACTAAAGTGGCTTACTTTTAATATGCAAATTAATTGTATACGAATTTAAATAAGATAAATCAACGTAGATAACAAATTTATAAAGAATTTTAATTCATTGATTAAAAAGATCTTTACACATAATTAACTAAATCATTACAATATTTATTTTAAATGTTAAAGTTCTTTACACTAGAGATGCGATAGAAACAGAGACCTCACCTCCCTCGGGACCATAGTAAAAATTTCAAAATTATGAACCTGAAGAGGGGGTGTATTTATAAAGAGCAAAATATATAAGCTGGGACCAAATTACACCGTGCATTTAAAGAGATTTTACATAGGGAATGCATTTACAGAAGGTGCATTTAAAGAGGTCTTTCTGTGTATAGAAAAGCCCCTACAATAAATTAAAAAGCACGTCATATTAACTTTTTTAAAATTATATTTAGTTTAGTTTAAATAATATAACGAGAAGAGTTAAATTTAAATTTTTTCACATTAATTAAAAAGTGATAAAAAGTAATTCAATTAATTTATTATCTATATAACTGATAAATAACGAACGAGTTAAAATTCCATTAAAAATTTTCTTAAATCGAATTGTCATCTCGTGCAAGTCGCGTAAAATTTGTGGTTTTGCCGTTCAGTACGAGATACATGCAGCGTTAATGGAGAAGTGTAACTGATACTAAAAGTAGCTAGTGAATAGCTTACTCCAGTTCATTGCAGTACAGAACCCATTCCAAGTTGAGGGCAACCTGGAGTAACCCGAAAATTTTAATCCAAATCTCACAAACTCGACGTACGCGCAATTTCGCGTGTCATGTGATAATGATAAGAATTCACCTAATATATTGATATATTGGTAAGTATGAGTGCTCGAGAGGGAAACCAGCAAGTAAAAAAGTTCTCCCTGAAGAATTGCGATCTTACGTGTTGATCACATATACAATTAGTGTTCTGGTCATTTCTGTAATATAACATAATCAACAATCAGATAATATCCGATATTGATATGTTATATTACCGAACAATATTTGATCAATTATGTAAGATCACAATTCTTTAGGGGATAAATTTTTACCTACTGGTTTTCCCTTTCAAGCACTCATATCAACATATATTATATTTTTCGCACGAGGTATAATTTCATCTCGCAATAGGCGCAAAATCTCAGATGCACTAGCTTCGTCATCCCAATAATCCCGTGGTTACAATTGACGGTAAAATAAATTTCCATTGCCGAGTTGCGCAATAAAATTCGATAATGTCGCAATTTGATAATTGATCGTCAATATATTTGTGATCATGACATGGTGATCCAGATGTGATCCAGATAATATATATCAGTTCAAATTTCTATCTTATCATTATTGTGTTGATAAAATGATTTTGTTCACAAACAAATCTACAGGTTTTTATTTTTTAGATTGTCTAAATATCTATAGTAGTATAATTTCGAAATATTAAAATTAAAAAAAAAAATTCTATACAAAAAAAAAAAAAAAAGTTTGCTGTCTAACCAAATAACATGTCTATTAGTATTAATGCCAAAATCATATAATTCAGTTATTTTATTAGAATCTTTTCTGAACTTCAAACCAACAAAATCAAAACCGCTTACTATAGTACAACTTTGTTTATCATTTCTTAATAAATATGTTTGGATATAGACTAATAATATTAATGACATAATAAATTAACTTAATAGCCAGCTGCAAATCCAACTTTCCTATAATCGCTTGCAGCTGTATACATTAAAAAAAAAAAATAGAGTTAATTGAAATTTATTTCTCGGTAAAATTTAAAAATAATTTTTTTTTTAATAAATGTTCTCTTACCGTGAATAGTTCCATTTTTAAACTTTCTAACTATTTGAACTGCACACGCAAATCTTCTATCATAAACATTATGTAATTGTACCTACAACAAAAAAAAAACAAGTCAAATCTAGATTTCTAGATGTATCAATAAAAAAAAATAATTTCATGAAAAGTACTTACGACATGTCCAATATTTAACAAATCATTAACCAACTCATAATCGAACCCAGATTCCATTTCCAACTAATAAAGAGCATTCAAATTATTAAAGAAAGAACCGATATGAAAGTAAAAAATTAATCAAACAAGAGCAAAATATTTACCACATTTGGTAATAGTTGTTGGTGGACTCTAGGTGCATTAACGGCGGACAAAATGTCCATATTAAATTCATATACATTTGTTATTACCTATAAATTTTACAATAAAAATATATATATATAAATATAATAAGAATGTATCAAAAAAATTTTTTTTATACAAAAAAGAACAAAAATTTATTTTAAATTACCTGTAAAACACCGGTAAGAATTCTTGTACCACCACTACCACCAACTATTAATTCCACTTCTCCATCTTCATTTTCTACTATTGTTGGAACTGTCGATGATAGAGGCCTCTTTCCAGGTGCTAAATAAGATGATATTTTAGCAAAACACGTATTTACTTAAATTACTTAAACTGTTCCGAACGAGCTGAGTTATGATTCTGATTCGAAACTTTCGAACATCCATTTTACTAAGACAACTTGTTTTCTATTTCTGGTCGAATTTACCCGGTACATTCGGAGCATTAAATTATAAAAATTACCTACCAACAAAATTATAAGGCGAAGGCCATAATCCAAAAACATTTGGTTCACCGGGAACTGCAAAATCATTCATTTCATTATTAAGAATTATACCAGTATTACGATCTAAAACACGTGCTCCCCAAATTTGATTAACCTATTAATAAAAAAAATAATTGTAAGAACGTAATGATAAAAAAAAATTTTTTAGAAGATGGTAATTACCGTAGAGGTAAAAGATACAGCCATATTATTAACATCGATAGCAGAAATGTGGGTTGTTCCATGATCTTCGGTGAAATCAAAAATCGGATCATAATGGTTTGGATTATATGTATGGGTCTATTAAAGTATTAGATCAATAATGCGACTCTATTAAATAAATTAAAATTTGTGTCAGATCATTTTAATGCCGCTAGTACCTACCCTATAATAGGGTTTCACCTAACCCTAATGAATTTCAGTATTGAGATTTCGATCTGACACAAATTTCATTTTGACGTACAACATATACAAGGTCCTTACCTCTGAAACATTATGCCGTACAAGTTCGGCAAATTTTTTGGAAATAATTTCTTTTACACGGTCATTATGTTCTTTTTGATTTTCGAACTGCATTTCCAAATAAATGTGACATCAAATTTTATGCGGATCTGATCAAAATTCAGATAATAATAAATTGTGAAATGATTTAGTAAACTTACAAATGCAGGATCCGCCAGTTCAGTACGCCGGGCAAAACCAACTAGATAAGAGAAAAGTTTATAATCGTTATACGGCTTAAATTACGATACTCAACCGTTTTTTAATATAAGAAAAAAAAATTTACATTTTATCGTTTCAACGATTCTGAAAGATAGTATAAAAAAGAATTACAAAAAGGTTGATAATGACAGACATAATAAGGCAATAGATAAATAATCACCTTTGGAGATTAATGCCATCAAGCCCATTTATAGACATATTATATCCTTCCAGTAAATTCAACATGAATATTAATGCAGGTCCACTTGTGGGTTCTGGTGGTGTTATTACCTATAAATATTAGAAGATTCGGTATAAAATTCAATATAAAAAAAAACTCAGTATATTAAATTCAAATCTAAAATTTATAATTATACAAAATACAAAATTACTTACTTTTCGACCGTGATAATGTCCAACGATAGGTTCACGAACAATAGGTCGATAATTAACAAAATCTTCAAAAGTCATATTTCCACCCTGAGCATTAATTTCTTTGACCAATGATTTTGCGATATCTCCCTATAATATAAATAAATGATATATATAACTTAAATACCTAGATAAATACAATATAACTATACTAAAAAGTTAAATTAATTACTTCGTAAAATTCGTTAATATTATTAGCAATAGCTTCCAAAGATTTTGAAAAATTAAGCCGATGTACTATATTTCCTTCAGTTAACAATTTTCCGTGTGGCGCATAAATATCATGATATGATGGAGTATTCAAAATTACACTTCTATACGACTATAGAAAAGAATTATCCTTTTACTAAAAGTTTATTATTAAAATTAGGACAACGATAGTAACTCAATTTACCTTTAGTCGTATAGCCAATTCTGGAGGAACAGGAAAACCATCACGACTTAATTTAATTGATGGCTCAAAAAGTCGCTTCCATGGTAATTTTCCATATCTATATTATAAAAAAGATTATTTAATGGAAAATTGCCGATAAAAAGCAACCAAAATATTTAATAAGTACTTTTCATGTGCAAGTTTCATTCCACGAAGTTCACCGCTAAAGAAATAAATTAATTATTAAAATATAGCCATTAAATAATCTTTTAAAAATGTATAATTAAAAAAAAATGAAATTTAAAACACTCACGGAACACCGACAGCAAGTCCACCAATTTTAGACCAAGTATGATTCTTTTTATACATATCAGCTCTGGCAGATTGGGGAGCTACTTCCCGGCAATCAATAAATTCAGCAGTTCCATTAGGCAGACGAATCATCATTAAGCCGCCACTAAAAACGAACATAATGAATAATCAGAAAAAGAAGCAAATAATATAATATATTACACGAACAATCCATACCCTCCAATTCCTGCAGAAAATGCATTGATCGTGCCGACACATAATTGAGTTGCAATTGCAGCATCAACAGCTGATCCGCCC